GTCGTCAAGTTATTCCTTTTTTAAATAGGTATAACTAGGATTCAACACTACAAAGGTCGTATACATATTTTTTAAACAAAGAATTTGAAACTACCGTGCTTGTCTCAAGGCACCAACTAAGCGATTTTTTATGCCAAAAAAGCTAAACAATTAAAAATCTTGAATTGAAAACCGGAATGTAAACTATTTAGGCCTTTTAAGTCAAGAACCAGTTACATAAGTGGTCTATCCGTGAAAAGACCGTAGTCATATACGTGGTCTATTCGAGAAAAGACCAAAAGACCCTCGCTCAAAAGAACAGGGAATGTTTTATAGCACACAGACATTTTAATGTTAAAAATATTAAGCTTTAAAATTGTAAACTAGAAAGAGATTCAAGGCACGTCGTTCATAAAATGGAATGATTAAAAAATGTGGAATGTAATTTTAATATTAATATGTAGATGATATTATTCCTATTATTCGTATAGCGATTGGTCTTGATTCCTAAGCCTATTGCAATAGCTTTATTAATTTTAATACTTTTAAATCTCGTAAGCAAACAAAATTTTTATCAAAAGCGTAAGTTTATAGGAAACTTTTTGTTGCAAACTTCTTTGGACTTACCAGTCCACTACCGCCATCGTCGCTAGCGGTCGCTTAAAGAAACTACGCGATACAAAAATTGCTATGTCCGGCTCCACTTACAAATCTAAAAATAATTCATAAAAAATTGACAATTCTCATAAAATTTTAACACTAAACTTTTTGTTTTTATGTTTGAAAGAACATGAATTTTGATATCATTTAGCACCTTCCATAGGAAGTGAGGATAAATTATCTAAGTAGGACATTTCATTTTATAGATATTTAGATGACATACATACTTAAATACATACATACATACATTTTTGGGTCAAGAACTACATTTTGAAAACACAACATTACTTTTTCAACAAATTTTATAAACATTTAAATTATTAAAGGGATATTTATTATCTGTAGGCCCTGATATGCTTCAAAAAGTATGCATGTCATTGATAAAAAAAAAAAAGGATGGAATTTGACACTTATGAAGTAAATACAACTAACTTTATTATTGTCAATAAGTATTAATTTTAAAAATCATTATTTGAGTACAAACAATCTATTTTCAATAATCAATTTCCTAAATTTCAAAGAAATCTCAAAAAAAAATGTGATGAATGAACTACACTACAGATCGAATGAATGGTTGGTTTAGAGTGAATGGGTGAACGAAACATTGAACGAGAAACACCTGATTACTACAAAATGATATGTTATTGAAAAATTGAGCTAACATTATGGAATTTTTCATTTACATTTTTCTAATAATGTCAGTTTTTTTTTTCTAAAATGGAATGATTTCTTAACACTGTAAGTAAGTACGTAAAAATACTATGCACATATAATTAGTTAGGCACAATAATTAAGTATTGCTAGTAATTACTATGTGTTTATATATTTATGCAAAACATATGCAATTATTAAATTTAACTACCTCATTACTTAGGAATCATCGTCAACATCATCAGCCCACATCAAGAGCCCACTGCCAAGTTTTCCATCATTAATCACCACGCTTGCTCAAGGCGGATAGGGGAATCCAAAGTTATAATAAGAAATTATAAGTCCATTTTCCTACGCCATCTTTAATAATCTTAGGAAGTCTTCGCTTTGGTACTTGCCACTTCGTATATGATAAGCGGGCGGGTCACCATGATTGTTAAACAGATTAAGAATGCGTTGTTTTGAGGGGGGGCAATCATGAAATCACTTCTCTCGACCAGGGTGGGGCGACAGGAATTATCAAAGAGACTGTGATTTTCTAAAAACCACCACGGTGTATTATCGCGCTTGTCCCGCAACCCCGGCTGAACATCAGCCCTATAGGGCCCCGTCTGTGGTGGTCTACTGGCTCTATGAGGCGCGCGGAACGCTACACGCCCTACGCTCAGGTCTGGTCTGGTCGAGCCGACCCATTCGTGCCAAAGAGACAACAAGTCCGTGGATAAAAGTAAATTTTATAATAACCCTTCCCGGCTTCGCACGGATGCAATGGTGTTATTAAGTTTCTCCATTATTTAATATATGTTATTGTAGGTACGGTACGTATAAACCTTCCTCTTCAGTTGCTCTTTCTACTAAATGAAGATATCGCATCAAAATCTGTTGCGTAGTTTTAAAGATTTAAGCTTACATAGGGATATAGGGACAGAGAAAGCGACTTTGTTTTATACTATGCATGTGATGAGCTAGTTACTATAATAATTACATATATTTTGCATAAAACTTATACTTGTTTGTCAGTTTGTCCCTAAGTATTGCATCCTAAACTATTGTGACGCTAATTTAGCTATTTTGACACTTATTGCAGTATATATAAGGCATATAATGGAATGTTTAGTATACAGGGTGTAAGGGACAGCCTTCCGCAAACTGATAGGGTGGATTCAGTATATCGTCTTAAGTTGACCGGTACATGAAATTATTTCAGGAACGTTATGGGAATCCAATTAAACCGATTTGTTTCATTACCTTACACGCAATGTATCGCTACCACCGCAAACGCACGCAGCGAACGGCAGCGCTTTTAGTATTATTACTTTACACTATGGGCAGCGCCGCGACCTTACGTTCAGACAAACGGTCGCGCTCGCGCCACGTTTTAATAACAATAAATTATTATTTAAAAGATAGCCGCATTACTTACAAAAGACAATGTAATAATCGCGCTCGCGCCACGTTTTAATAACAATAAATTATTATTTAAAAGATAGCCGCATTACTTACAAAAGACAATGTAATAATCGCGCTCGCGCCACGTTTTAATAACAATAAATTATTATTTAAAAGATAGCTGCATTACTTACAAAAAAATTCTAACAATCATAACATGGTAACTGATAAATGATAAAAAAAGAAAAATGCGTAGGTACCTTAGAATCGCTCCGGTTTCCGGCTCTGGAAAGCATTTGTGATGCGGTCTCGCATTTCGTACTCACTTGCACACGCACTCACAAACACTTTTTCTTTTACGTAACCCCACAAAAAGGGGTCCAAATGGGTTAGGTCTGGGGATCGTGCTGGCCACGGTTGCGGTCCAAACCTACCTAAACTACGTTTAAATAGGAAAGCACTGGTAAGTGGTAGCGTCTCCTTACGTTAGCGAACCAATTCCAAAATCCACGTAGGTATTGGTCTTCCGGCGCCTTTTTGTCTGGGAACAATGGGCTGGTTTTCTAGCAAGCGTTGATAGTCACCAGTAATTATCCTGGAGTCTGATGGATGGCGACGGTCAGGATACCTACACTACTACAACACATTATCATCTCCCCATAATCACGCGCGCTAAACGTACCTAGGTAGTAATTTCGCACAATTTCTACAACAAAACTTCACTACACTTCACACACTACATAACTAATAAAACTTAACAACACTACTTATAACAAAACTTTTAAGCCGAATGCGCGAGCGATCCGTGCCGACACACGCTCGCGGTACACAAACAATAACATCGCAGCAAGGCACAATGGCGACTGCATGTGATGAGACACACACAAACATAAATCTGTGGTTGCCAATTACACGAAAATTACAAAATTTCGGGGTAAAAAATAAAAAATTATGCATGGTCGTAATTTATCATTCTGTTATTTTTTGTAGAGAAATGAATTGATTAAATCAATTTAATTCTAATTTCATTGTTTAGTTAATTTAGAATAATAAAAGTGCAGTGTGATAGAAAGCTGTGCTTCCATTCCAGGGAGATTGTGTTTAATTTCTGGCTCGACTATCAATTCATGGCTATTGTGAAGCCATGTAAAAATCTGTAAGTAGTTTAAAAACTAGCCAGTAATCGCTTAAAAAGAACAATCAATTAATAAATTAGGTAGTATTTGTAAATGCTTTAAAATTAAAACTAGACTAATCTTTATTTATTTCTTATTCAATTTATGTGCGCGACAAGATTTTCATTAATTGATTAATGAAAATCTCATCAACGTAATTATGAATGCAAAGGAGTTCTCAAGTTTTAGATAAATTTCGCTAGTTCTAACATTTTCGTTTACTACCTGAGGTAACAAAAGTTAAAAATTGGCAACACTGGTTCAATCGGGCAAACATTGTGCAAAGAATCGGGGAGACGGGGAGACGCGGAGGCGGGGCGATAGAAAGGGACGCAGCTATTCTGTACGTTGGACGGGATCGTAGGTATTATACCTACGGCTCGCGGCGCGGCGATCGGCGCGGTGGGGCACCGAGCCGCTGCGCCGTGACCGCGGTGCGGTGAGTTCAAACGACTCGCGCTAGGTAGAAATTGAACAGCTGATTTCATGCGTAGTTCTTTAGAGAATTCACACAACCATTGCGTATTTTTTTGTTTTAGCTGTGTTATTTACATTGATGTTATTCTTCATACATAGAATGTAATTATACATTGAAATAGAGGTGTAGGAACTGAAAAAACGAAAAAAAAATTGAAAATTTTCCTGAAAGAATTTTCACTGGAATATGATTCAGAATAAGGAGCTGAATGCACCCTGTTAATTTGTGGAGGGCTGTCCCTTACACCCTGTATACTAAGAGTTCGAGCTTTTAAATGTGTGGCCTTTGTGATGTGGTGAGAGAATGCATTGGTATATGTATATCGATTAATATGCAGTGAATTTTAATAATTTTTAGATATACAATTTTTAATATTTATACTAATTGTAGCGAACTTTTTAATTGTTTCATTAATTCAACAATAACACTTAACTATTACGTATTTTAGTTGATTAAATCTACTATTGAATTTTTTTTCATTAATTAAAGTATCGATAAATTTTAACAGCGGTACTGCACTACCAATCGGTATTAACGTTCAATAAAAGACCAGCACTACATAACGTCGTACATATTGCAATTAGTTCTATGTCAAAAAAGATAAGATTACAGAAAACATTCGCCAAAAACATTTTGAATTTAAAACATATTTTCAAACTCGGCATAAAAAAGTTTTTCGGTCGCGTTCAAAATTCAAATTAAAGCAAGTATGTCTATACTAATATTATAAAGAGGTAAAATTTTTAAGTTAGTAAGTTTTTATGCAGGTGGTAATCTTTAGAACCGCTGGTCGGATTGCCAAAATTTTTTCACTGATACATAGCTACAATGTTTTTGAGTGCTATAGGCATCATGCTACGATTAAATGAAGCCGAGCAGCGGGTGAAACCGCGCAAGAGTAGCTAGTAAGTAATAAAAACAAACGATATTTTTGACATTAACAAATTGCAATAGGTATGGACGTCGATAATCAATATGGTAAAAATTTTACTTGCCACAGACTGCCAAAGTTTGGAGTTGAGACTGCCACTTTTTGCCATTATCTCACTACACCACGTGACCACATTCTCACTATAAAAATTTCGCACCATTATACACTGTATCAACTGTATCGTTCCTTCGCGAGGCGGTACCGCGTGATTATGTACTAGAGGTGAAGCACTTGTCCGTCGTCCTTGGACGTGACGAACGGGGCCGGGTCTGCCTCCTCTAGAGTCACGGCCGTTAGGTCCACGATCTCGTCTTGTTCGTCTTGATCGAATCTGTGGATACGAAGGGTTTTGTAAGTATTTAGACAATGTAATTCTAAATATATTCTCGCACATTATAAAATGTTGAAGCGGCGTCTATGCGTTCGCGTTAAACTCTAGTAGACAAAAAGTATGAATTTTTTTTAACACATGTACATAATTGCAATCTCTTAAAATCTGAAAAATTAAGTAGAAAAGGGACAAAGAAACGTCAAAAGCATTTTATTTAGTTTTTCTAAAAATTTCTGTAATAAATACAACCTTATTTCGTTATCACCTACTTAGAGAAATAATAACTTTTTCTTTCGTTTTTTTAACGTCGCCCCACACTAAGTTTGTCCGTCCAGTCAAATAATGCCTTATGACATCAGCTGTAATATATTTACCTGTCTTCATCCGGCTCACTGGATGGCTGTGAGTGTCGGGAGAGGGTCTCGGCGGGAGGCGGAGGGCCGGCGCGCTGGTTGGCGGGCCGCACTGTGATGATCAGGTTCGAGGAGTTCGCTACCATCATGTCCGTCACCTGTAGGATGGGTTGGGGGGAGGGTTAGTGTTTAAAACATTATAATGCGGTAGTTTCTTACTAATCAAATTCAATACTTTTATCGAAATGTCAAAAAAAATAATGTTCTATTTATCTTGCATGCAACCGCACGTTGTGACGTCAAATAAATAGTAAAGTTATTTCTCTTGACTTAACAATAAAGGTATGATTGTTTTTCAGTATTCTTATAGTTTTATACGAACTTATACTGAAGAAACAAGCCAATTATTTACTAATAACTTAAATACAGACAATCAATGCTTTTAGGAGCAGGATTAAGAGTAAGTAACACTTTTCCGTTTCAAAAACCGCTATCCATCGAGCACACCTTCTATTTCTTCTTTTTATAATATTGAGGTGAGAAAATCAACAAATGTCTTTCACCCATGGTGAGGCGGGAGGCTCTTACTGACTAAAAACCACCTCATTCTTTCTCCTGCTCCAGGAGTCCAGGCCGAGGCTGCGGTATCATATTGCGCCTGCTCTGCAACCTAATCGGCCCTGTTGGGCCCTATATGTGATAGTCCGCTGGCTCGAAGAGGCGCGTGCGGATCGCAACGCACCGTAGGCCCGGGTCTGGTTCTGGTCAGGCGCTATTCTTTTGCTCGCCGTCCGCAGACCAGCGCTTACGGTAGCCGGATATCGTCATGCTCCCGGAAGCTCAGGTGTCGTCTACTGCGGCGGCTAGGGCGTGAGGAGGATAGTTCCCTCACGCACTCCACCTCCTTAGCGAGCATCACTGCTTCGTAGAAAGAAGCAACGTACCTGATCTAGCGTCTTATTCGATACGTCGATGCCGTTCACTTCCAGGACTTCATCGTTGACACCCAACAGTCCGGTGGACTCCGCCAGACCTCCGGGCACCAGACGGGATATGAAGATACCAGGGGAACGTTCGACGCCGTTTGGAGTTACCCGGACTGAGGTGCCGTCCCTGGAAATAAGATTTATTTATTTAACTTTATACGTAAAGTAGGTAGGTAGGGCTCAATGCCTACAGGCATTCTGGCTAGCTTATTTTAATTGGGTCGTTTCCTGGGTCAAAAATTAATTAATATTATGTTTCAATACATTCATCGATTGATCATAATAGGTTTACATTTTTTTTCGCAATTTTTTAAGAAATAAGTAAGGTATTTGTGACGCAAGAATGTTATGACGTCATAACTCAGTTTTTCATACAAATTTCATAGAAAAGTATCGTTTTTGACATTTGAATAAAAGTATTGAATTTGACTAGTTGGAAACTACCGTATTGCAAGATTGAATGTAGTGTTTTATCTATACTAAGTAATACTAGCTTCCGCAGGCGACTTCGCTTGCGTGGTATGTTGATAAAAAGTAGCCTATGTCTTATCCCTAGTGTATCCTATGCCTGTGCCAAATTTTACCCAGATCCATCCACCCGTTTTGGCGTGATTGAGTAACAAACATCCAAACATCGAAACTTTCGCATTTATAATATTAATAGTAAGAGTCTCACAGAGTACTCTAAAGCTGTAAACTTTATTTGAAGTCATTTGAACGCGCTAATCTCCGGAACTGCTGGTTCGATTTGAACAATTATTTTTATGCTTGTTAGGCCATTTATCGAGGGAAGGCTTTAGGCTATAAAACATCACGCTAAGATCTGTAGAAGCCGAGCAAAGGGAGAAATCGTGCGAGAATAAGTAGACATGTGTTTTATAATAATATAACTGAATTTACCAATTAACATATAGGTATAACATATTGACTTTCAATTGCAGAATATATTTTTTTATAGACGCGCTGTATATGAAAAAAGTTTTTTAATATCATACTAAATTATTGAATCGATTTTAATGAAATACTGAACAGTTTATATGTAAAACGGGATAAAGAATAGAAATTGTACATACGATAAAGAGTTTTAAGTCAATGGCATAAAGAACATACCTGATAAAGAATCCTAGCGGTCGATCTGACCCGTGCTTGAGGAGTTTGACTCGCCTGCACGTTTCGGGAACTATATCTACGTCGATAATTGCCGATACCTGGAATTAAAAAAAAGAAAACTCATTACTACTGTGTAATACGAAATATCCGGTTTCAATCGATTCGATTCCCGCACGTAACAACTCTTTGTGTGATCCACAAATTGTTGTTCCGGGTCTGGGTGTGATGTGTATGTGAAATTGTATGTTTGTAACCGCACCCACGACACAGGAGAATATCCTAGTGTACGGCAATGTTTTTTTTTAAATAAAATCCCGGACTAATAGATTTCCTTTATCTAAACTAATATTATAAAGAGGTAAAATTTTTAAGTTAGTATGTAGGGGGTAATGTTTGGAACCGCTCTGGTCGGACTGCCAAAATTCTTTCACTGATAGATAGCTACAATGTTTCTGAGTGCTATAGGCTATAAAACATCATGTTACTACTAGCAGCGGGTGACACCGCGAGAATAGCTGGTGCTAGTTATTTTTTATATTTATGATAAGACCGCAAAACGAGTGCGTTGTCGAACTTTTGGGGATTACGGTTTTGGAGATTAAGGGATTGGGGGGTAGAGATGGATTGTGTCTCCGGTAACCTCACTCACACGGCGAAACACAACGCTGTGTTTTACGCCGGTTTTCTGTTAGATCACTCCGGTCGAGCCGACCTATTCGTAAAGACCATAGTGAAGTCATCTACACTAATCTATGCTAATATGATAAAGAGGAAAGATTTCATAGTTTGTTTGTGTGAATTGAATATGCTCTGAAACTAATTGATTGATTTAAAAAAATCTGTCAATATTGTGAAGCTAATCTACAAAGTCAAAACGTTAATCTATAATATAAAAATGAATCACAAGATGTGTTGGTAAGCGCATAACTCAAAAACGGCTGGATCAATTTTGCCATATCCTTTTGTTTTGTATTTATCGTGGTAAGGAGAAGGTTCTTATGAAAGAAAATATTAGAAAAGTTGTTGTTTCATTGTTAGCGGGATAGTTGACCCGTGCGAAGCGGGGGTGGGCCGCTTCAAATAGATCACAAAAGGCACTTTTGACCGTCAAGCGAAAAAAATATACAATAAGGTTCAACTTTATGCATGTCAGTCTGTCCTCTAGTGAAGCTATTTGCTTGTTCCAAACTGTAGATTCCTACGGAGAAGAACGACCACGAAACTCCATGGTTACTCTTTGTCAATCAGTTTCACAGTGAACACAAGGGGGCGTTCATTAACAAAGTATTGATTTCCGAATTCCCTGCTATTAATAACAACGCCATTATCACTCACCATTCTAAAATCATGGGGGTTCGATATAGCAAGGCCCTTGTTCTTGGCTGGTGTACCGCTCAGTATCGAGGATATAATGTTCCTAGGCCGCATCGTCCCATACCCGTTCAATTCTTCCAAACTATCTCCTGAAAATTAAAAATTTAATAGTAACATCAAAACTATGAATAACGCCCTCTGTTGACGGCAATGAGAACTAGGTAGTGTTTTGATAAATACTGGATAACCTTTAAATCGTGGCAATTTGAGACACAATAGAAGAACAATAGGTGATTAATTTAATATATAAAATAACAAAAAGTAGATAGCACTTGGGAAAAAAAATCAATCTTCAGTGGAAAGAGAGAATTGTATAATTTTGTTTATTTTTCCCTTGGCTCATAACCCTTACACCCGGTTTCCGAAAGGCCGATCAATGTTAAAATCAATTTAATCTCTTGTCAAGTCATCTGATTGGTTGGCTGAATTATCAACAACCAAGCAGATGACATGACAAGAGATTAGTTAATTTTAGCGTTGACAAGCCTTTCAGAAACCGGGTGTAAGAGTGCGTTCTCTACAATCAGATAAAATCAGTGCACCGTCTTATAAAAATCACTACACAGCATTAAAAAAATATCGCTTTTTCTATCCGACCCTAAGTATGTATGCTTAAATATTTAAAACTACCCAACGGATTTTGATGCGGCTTGTTTTAATAGATAGTGATTGAAGAGGATGATTTATATGATGTACACATCTATTGGATAGTAGAGAAATTTTGTATCAGCATTACAACTGGGCGAAGCCGCAGGCGGAAGCTAGTGTCACATAAATCCCACGATAAGAACATTTTATATTAATATATCTGTCGGTATGCGCGCAAGTTTCCAAATACGAAGTACTAGGGGCGCAGAAATGACAACAGTACACTATAATAGCACTTACTAAGGCCAGTTAGTATTTATTGCTCATTGAATAACTATTGCTTCCAGTTAAAGATTAGGTGAACTGTGTGAGTATATCGTATCTGGCTAAGCAAATGTTTAAAAGATAAATATTTATTTTTAACGACTAACACCCGGTTTCTGAAAGGCTTGTCAACGATAAAATTAACTAATCTCCTGTTAAATCTCTTGACAAGTCATCTGATTGGTTGTTGATAATTCAGTCAACCAATCAGATGACTTGACAAGAGATTAAATTGATTTTTACATTGATCGGCCTTTCGGAAACCGGGTGTTAATCGTTTGTTATAACAAATGCCTAATATCCCCTGAAAAGTCATATATAAGATTGGCGCCGTGAAATAACCATAGCCTTGAGTTTGAATGAGTGAAGTTTCGCAAGGCCCAATCGTTCTCCTCCCATATCCCAGAATCTCTAAAACCGCATATCGGCAAATGGGCTGCGAAGCATTTGCACGTTGCACCACGGGGTTCGAAGGTGGTACCGAATGCTTACCATCAGGTAATAGGAGAATTCATATGCCACCGCATCACATAAAAAAAAAGATTTTTGACGTTATCAAAATTTACATTCAGCTGACCTAGAAATCTATGGGAGAAGCCTACATTCAGCGATTACTTATTGGAAAGTTGGGAATAGGAGCTTGATCATTCACATCTCTGTACCTATATCCGTACTTATGTTTATATCTTTGAAACTACGCAAAGGATTGTGATGTTTATTTGTTACAAATTATGTTTCTTCCTTGTACTTATGGTCCACAGATAATTAATAAGATACACGCGACTTCGTGGATGTCATACTCTGTGGACCATCTGTGGACTATAGATAAAAGTTTACATTTTTTTTGTTAATTTTGTTTTCTATGTAAGCGCACACCGCCTGCGCAAAAATAAATGTTTTTCTTTCATTCTTTCTTTCTTTCTGATAGAAAAGGAAGATATATATGTACAAATTTAATATTAAGATTGCGCCCGTGGAAGCCTAGCCGGGTGGCTACTATTCAATAAATTTATTCTGCTATGTGAAAAATAAGAAGCATGCGAGTACCGACACAGTCGATAATGGATGCCCTTACAAGCAGCATTCATTCTAATGGGATCATTGCCACAAATCCGCACTGCAATGCATCAGTGCGCACGTGAATAGTGTTGCCACAAGTTTATAGCGAAAAGCGGTTCATTATTACATGACACATCATAGCATGAACTTAAATGATACAGGTATACAACCTCCCTTTAAGTCGGTAAATCCAAATCCAAACTAATATTATAAATGCGAAAGTAACTCTGTCTGTCCGTATGTCTTTTCAATCAACCAATCAAAGCTTTTACTGCATTCCATATGTAAAGAAAGATGTTATAATGCATGTTAGGTTAATAGAACAACAGTCCTGACCTGTCCAAAACCCTGTCGGGCACATCAAAACGACTGAACCGATTTCTGTGAAATTTGGTACAACAGACATAGTTTGGAACTCGAGCGGAAGTCACTATTCCACGCGAAGAAAGTCGCGGGCAAAAGCCAGTATCTTTATAAATTACTAGCTTACGGCTAAGGCTTGGTCCGCGTGGTATGTTGATAAAAAGCAACCTTTGTGTTAATCCAAGACATCACCTATCTACATACCTAATTTCCACTAAATGAATCCAGCCGTTTTCGTGAAAGAATAACAATCATACATCCATACATTCTCACAAACTTTCACATTTATAATATTAGTAGGATATATTTACTTTTGTCTTAAAACTGCTGATATAGTTTGATCCATCGAAAGTTTTCGAATCTTGTCTACCCCATCTTCTTTCAACCTACAAAAGTAACTTTTTAACCAATAGAAGAATACTACCTATTTAAAAAATTAAAACGTTAGGTAGTTCGAAATTCGAAAATTAAATTTCAATTCTCTGATTGACAGTTTGCGCTTTGAAATTGGTACCAAGGGGAAAAACGAAACAGCTGTTTACAACAGCTAACGCAACAAAAAATACTACCAAAATTAACAAAGGCTTGACATTTATGGGAAAAATATCAATCCTGTCAAGGTTCCCTTTGCAAGACTATAAACAAAACATCTCTAAAACGCTTTCGTTTATGAATCAAACCAGTTCTTACTTCCCTTTCGTGATACGATGTCACGGTCATGGGGCGTATATGTCAGACGGTAGCATATAAAGCTACACTAAACTTTTATAAATTTTTCACCGTTAACACAAAGTGATAAGGTTGAAAATGGTACAAAAGAGTATATGTAGATTGGGGTAGGTCGAAGTGCTGGCGTGTAAAATTATTGTAGTATAGGACAATGGGATTCGATGCTTTGTAACAGCCGGAAGCAAACAGAACAGGTTTGTGGACGGAACCGAGTAAAATATTTCGTTATTTATAATTCCAAGTTGTTACAAATGACTCAGTTCGCGAAAATCTGTGTGAATATAGGTTAGGTACCTATGTAATGTAATGATTCATATTTACATTGGAATTTATGAATGAAGAAATGACTGTATTTTTTTTCTCATCATTGTCTATGAGGTCAATTAAGAAAATGATTAAATATAGGTAGGTATATTATTACTTATCAACTATTTATTTTTTGTTTATTAAGTTAAAGTAAAAAAAAGATCAACTGTAATTCGGCATTTTTCAAAAAACTAACAGCTGCAAAAGAAAGCATACTTTTTTTACTGGTCAAATGACTTGACGTTTATAACGTACTTAAGCACCACACAAATATCATCATCATCATCATCATCAATTTAAGTATGACTTCAAGTATATCATATAGTATGGGCATAACTACATAGTGCCTACCAATAAAACAAATTAACTGCCCGCTGTCTGTTCCTATGTATGCTTAGATCTTTGAAACTACGTGACAGATATTGATGCGGTTCTTCAAATAGATATAATGAAACAAGAAGATGGTTTATTAAATTGTAGCTAAATTTAAACACATGTAGATTACAATATTTAGTAGATGTTGTTTTAACGAGTAAATGCAAGAAATCAACTATCACTGGCAACATTTACTTCTAGTGCTCTATGGTTAAAATGGCGGACGTAATCTATAAATAGAATAAAACTAATTGAAAACAACATGTGAAAACTAACAAGGTTTACAATTAGCGTCGACCCACTGAAGAGTCACGCGACGTTGACTGTGCGCAATGTCCATCTCACTAACATTAAATTAAAATCTCTGTAATGACATTCATTATCTATATATTGTTATTTATATATTTTTTATTGTTCCGTATATACACATGCGTTGATTATAGTAGGTGCAATTTAACAAAAAATTACGAATACATTAAGATTTATGTAAGTACACTTCTAGCGTAGATGCAATGCTATAAGTTTCACAGCCAACAAAAACTGTTAAAGGCTTACTCCATGGTGTTCTAAGTTCGAATGAGTGTTATTATACACATAAACATTTTTCTTCAATCACTCTATCTATTAAAAAACTGCATCAAAATCCGTTGAGGAGTTTAAGATTAAAGCATACATAGGTATATAGGGATAGAGAATGCGACTTTGTTTTATGCTGTGTAATCACGATGTGTACAGGAATAATTATAATTATGTTGTCTTAACTGTGCCGATTATTTGTGGACGGCTAATTTTAATTTATTCTTTACTAGCTTTTGTCCGCGACTCCGTTCGCGTCAAATAGTGACTTCTTGCAGATTTTTGGAATAAAAACTATCCTATGTCCGTTCTCGAGTTCCAAACTATGTCTGTACCAGATTTCACAGAAATCGATTCAGTAGTTTAGGCGTGAATAAAAAACAGACAGACAGACAGAGTTATTTTGGAATTAATAATATTAGTTTGGATTTCTTTGCCTCATGATTTTATATCATTATGTTACTAACCAATGCATGGTCGAGTCATCGAGGCCATCAAGTGCGACAAAATTAAATATTTTTTTTTTTCACCAGAGCATGATAGTTTTAAGTAAAAATTTCACACAGCCTAGCGTTAAACCGAATTTTACGCCCCCAAATATTTAAAAGTGTACTAAAGTATGTCTAGGAAAGTGTCATAAAATGACTGAATTCTTTATTTGTTACATTATTATTATTACACTGTTTGGGAAGCTGCACTATCGCTACATAGAACCTAGACTACATACCACTACGCGAATAAAACGCGGAGCACGACTATTCTAAACTCATATTAGAAAGCTGAAGAGTTTGTTTGTTTGAACGCGCTAATCTCAGGAACTACTGGTCCCATTTAGACATTTAGAAAATCTTTTTTATTTATATAAGATTATTTACCGAGGAAGGCTTTAGACAATACAACATCACGCTACGCATCTGTAGGAGCCGAGCAGTGACACCGCGCAAGTAGCGAGTAATTAATAAAGTTATTTAATAACTAGAAGAAGGTCTGTTCCGTAAATAAACTGGTACAATAATGGCAATGGCGGTCATCCACCATGATATATGCCCCATTAGGTTTCCTAGGAAGCCACATAAGGACTTAAACACACGGAAGTACTATGACGAGCGATGCTTGATCATTGCTTAAGCATTTGTTTACCTAATCCAGTTTAAAAGGTAAGAAAATACGCCATTTTGACACATAGGTGCGCCCTTTGATCTCTTAAATAATCTCTCTTTAAATAGTTGCGGTAGGTTAGTAGCAATGTGACTTTTCGGGTAATGTATACTTTTTAAGTCTATTTAGACACCACTGACACACGGCGAAGAAAACATCGTGAAGAAACTAGGGACTTATTAATTTTAACTAAAAGTTTGATATCGCCAATCGGCCTTGAACAAGAACGGTTTTTAATGCTCATTCTTCGTGTAAGCAGAGCGTCTTAGCGCAGCAGTGCGCAAATTAAGTATTAGCCTTTTATTTATTACTAGCTACTCTCGCGCGGTTTCACCAGCTGCTAGGCGCCATTTGATCGTAGCGTGATATTTTATAGCCTAAAGCACTCAGGGACATTGTAGCTATCTATCAATCAGTGAAAGAATTTTGGCAATCCGACCAGCGGTTCCAAATATTACCCCAACATACAAACTTACAAATTTAACCTCTTTATAATATTAGTATAGTATAGATTTTTTCTGAGAGGGAAGGTAGAAATTGTCACTTGGCTTCTCGCAACATAGGTAAAGAGACAAAAGGGAGTGTCAGACTCTTACTGAACAAAAACTACCCCGTTTTCCTTCTCCTACTCCGAGCCGGGGCCGAAGTATAGTATATTGATACTCGTTGCACCCACAACCACTTAGAACCTGATAATGTGATGATGAGTCGGTTCTCACGACGATAGCGAGTAGCAGTAGGAATAACAAACTAATCTACATGGCCATTAAATAAAAAAAAAACTGACCTCAAAATTGAAGATTTTCTTTCATTTCTTTAGGAATGCGATCAGTGTGCGTTAAATTTTCATATTTTAATTTACTTCAACTATAAAAATTGAATATCGGTTTGACCATGTATTTCGGCAGTGTAACATAATTTAGTGACATGCAACATTGCACTGAAATAGTTATTAATTTATTTTTCTAAATAGCTTTGCCCGCGACTCCGTTTGCGTGGAATAGTGACTTCCTGCAGATTTATGGTATAAAAACTATCCTATGTCCTTTCTCGAGTTCCGAACTATGTCTGTACCAAATTTCACAGACTTCGGTACAGCAGTTTAGGCGTGAAGAAAAGGCAGACAGACTGAGTTACTTTCGCATTTATAATATAAAGTTTGGTTTAAAATTGAACCGGCCCGCTTTAAGTAGATGTTACGATACATACAAATCTTCCTCTTCAATCGCCCTATCTATTTAAAACACCGCATCAAAATATGTTGAGTAGTTTTAGAGATTTAAGCATACATAGGGATATAGAGACAGAGAAAACGACTTTGTTTTATACTATGTAGTGAAGTTATTTATAATGTTGTACTGGTAACTAATAACTAGTAAACTAATCTACTTCTTGATCATAATGTTAGAAATGTATCAAGCTTAAGATCCGACTCTTATAAAACTCCTAAAGGGATAAGCAAAGGTAATCCTTCAATTATTTACTCGACCTTAGATTGTACCGACAAGGAAGCTATACAAAACCTTTTTTATGTAATAGGTCGGCAAACGAGCAGACGGATTACCTGATGGTAAGCAAACATCGCCGTCCATGGACACTTGCAACAACAGAACAGTTGAAAGTGCCGCGTTTGGAGTTATTGTTTCGGAGTTTCAGGGAGGATAAAGATTGGGCCTACAGTAATCTCACTCACACGGCAAAACAACGTAAGTGTTGCTTCACGCCGATTTTCTGTGAGGCCGTGGTATCACTCCGGTCGAGCCAACCTACTCGTATCGAAACGTGGCTCTTTCACTCCTATCTTACTGTTTTAGCTAAGCATACTTCTTACTGAAAAATCTCTTTTCAAACTTTAAAAACGATTATATTTTCAAATTTGGAACCCAACAACCTAATTCAGACATGTACGTACACGTAACAAAAGTAAATAAGTACACAATGCTATCAGGCCCTAAGATATAATACACGTAGCTAATCAATTATGAACCTTAACACCTTGTTATAGAAGCTATTAGAGTTTGATTATAGTGTCACATTCTATGCTAATTAAGTGTCTTTATCAGTACAATGGATGGTGTCTATGGAGGTCATGGTGTGCCGAGGTTTTATTTATTAATGTTATGATTGTGTGAGTCATTGGTGTGGGTTGGTGTAATGGATTTTTAACCAGTATATTTTAAATTTATTATAAAAGTACTCAACAAAACATTTTCGTGTAAAAAGATTAAAAAAACAACCTAGACTATCAAAAAGTTATTACTTCTAGTCAAGTTTCTGACTTCCAAATCTCTAAATTATACCATAGTCAAAATGCTTTGCTTATCCAAGTGAACTAGGTTACAATTAAACAACAAAAATTTCATAAAATTGTAGGGAAGAGGCTGTCCCTGCCAAGCATTCAGGTAAAAATTAATAAATCTACATGGCTAGTCTAATTGAAACTGGCCACTAAACAAAATCTACTGGCAACATATCAGAAATATATGTTACGCGTTCACACCTACTATTCTCCTATTGTGTCTCACATTACTATGTTTTAAAATTTAAATTGCTTTAGAAAATTAAGTAAATCTTACCTTTCCTCTGTATAATAACTCTGAGTAGCGGTCGGGCGGTAAGCAGTGCTCTAGCCAGATTGTCATCATTGTTAATTGGCAACAGGTCTCCGTCTCTAGGATCCGTATAGGATATGAGGAAGGCCACATCATGGAGCCTGTGCAATTTCTCTATCAACGCCTTGAAATCTTCATACTTGAGCTTCTCAGTACGATTGAGCGAAAATCTTCTGAATTCTGCATCAAACTGGAAATATATTATAGTAATTAGTGCATGATAAAATTGTCTTATTAAAACTTAAACTTTCGCGTTTCATATTTACAGCAAATAATTACGCGGGTATTAACGCGAAAAATAATTATTTAAATACCTTGTTAGGATTGACGTTTTGACCTGCTAGCACAGGTCGTGGTCGCAAGCAGACTCATAAGCGAAGCCTACAACGACAGACAAGCCTAACGAGGTATTTAAATAATTATTTTTCGCGTTAATACCCGCGTAATAATATGGCATAAATGATCAAAAGTCTGAGTGTGAGACAGCCATGTGTTGGACTGAGTTAAAGTGATACCTCGGCCTCACAGAAAACAAAGCTTGTGGTGTATTGCAGTGTGAAAGAGGCTATCGAAGGTCTGAGGTTATAATCAAATCCTTTACCACCCCCAACCCATCCCGAGCGTACAACGCGTAGCGTTCCGCGCGCGCCTCAAAGAGCCAATAGACCACCACAGGCAGGGCCCTATAGGGCTGATGTTCAGCCGGGGTTGCGGGGTAAGCGCAATGAGGCACCGCGACCTCGGCCCAGAGCCGGCGAAGGAACGGGGGGGTTTTTAAGTCAGTAAGAGTCTCACACTCATCCCTGCCCGACCCTGGGCGTGAGAAGTCATTTGAAGATTTACCCTCACAAAAAAAAACCCATCCTCAAATTCTCCTATAAAACATTTAAAGGCCGAAAATCAGTTGTGTTAAAAAAATAGATGCAATAATTTTATATTAGTCCACACCAATACAATTATGAAAAAAGGTTTTATGTTTGTGTTATCATATCTAGTTCCTTCTTCTGCTCCAGGCCTGGGCAGTGGTACATTGTACTAGGCCTGCATCAAAACCTTTGCTTTTTACAAAGAGAAGAAACAAACATTGAACACCACACTTGCTCAATGCATTGAGGTCAGTGGTATCCAGAAAAATTAATAGACAAGTAACCATGTAGGTTGCATAACACTCTCTATGACTATTTGCTGCATGCATGATCTGATTTGATATCAATATTAAGGTATACTTCAGAATTGTTTTAGTATAACAAGAAGTTGATTGATTTAACCAATGAGCTCAACCATTAGTGTAAATAAGAGCACATAGACAACTGACTGCTATGCAATCTGTTGTAAGTTCTATTCCCCATTGATATCATCATCATCATCATCATGAGCCTATAAGTGCCCACTGCTGAGCAAAGGCCTCTTCTCACAAGGAGAAGGTTTGAGCATTAATCACCACGCTTGCTCAAGGCAGATTGGCGATTTCAAACTTATAACAAGAAATTATAAGTCCAGGTTTCCTCACAATGCCACACCATTTGCAAGTGGTGTCTAAATAATCGTAGAAAATATATATGACATGGAAAAAGTGACATTGGTACTTGCTAAGTTTATAACCCACACCCTCATGTATGGGAAGCGGGCATGTTAACCTCTGGGCCACTAAGACATTACTTTATGAACTTTTTAATATATAATCCAGTAATTGTTGATCCAAGTCTGGGTGGGATGTATATTTATAAACACACTGAAAACACAGGAGCACATCCAACTGTGAGGCAGTTGTTTTAAATCTTTCATTTTCATGCTTCTCTTCTGTATGCATCTATATTTTGGTACATGCCTTTAGCTACACAGACAGACTTACTGTCAGATAATTATTACTATTTAAGCCTGTGTCTAGATTAGCTAATTAAAGTTAAAGCTCTGATATTCAACACTATTTATTGATCCTTTAGTGAAATAATAAAGGAGGAAAATAAACATAAGAAAACAACACCACACAGTAAATTTATTACAGAGTTACAAAAAGCTATTATTTAACAGCTAACGGGTAATTTACTAAATAATTATCATTGTTCATCTTTTATCTCCAAAAGACCTAGTTCCCAAGATGTTACAATGAGCTTAATTATACAAAACATGTTTTTTTAAAGAATAGATGTATTACATTCTTGTTTGCCACATTTTCGTTAAGATTTTAGTCAAACTCCAATATTATCTAACTCGTATTCACAAAAATACGAAGGAAACTATTATTTCAGTGGAATTTTAATAATTTCCGAGTTAGTGCTTTCTTTTAGATAGCAAATTCTCGGACAAGTATTTTTTTTACATAGAACTGTAACCATGTAATGTATACCCATTTTATAGAAAAGTCATACAGCAAACCTAGGCAAATACAAACTCAAAATAGTCTAGACTATGCTTAGATTTCGTAATAGTTGAGAAAGTTTGCGTGACTTTTCAACTATGGTCAAGAAATTAGAAATTCCTTCCCACTTACTTTAGTTTTGACTTCCACAGTTTGACTGTCAACACGAGCCGCTATTTTGTTCTTCGACATCTCTAAAGCATTTAATATAAATCACTAACACTATAAAACTATTCTCAAAACATTTAGGCACTTAATTTTAAACATAACATTGTAAAATATCAAAAGTTTTATTAAATTATTGATATGACGGTGTCCATTCCACTCGCGTCGTAATTTCAGTAAGTTAGTTTTTGTGTACTACATACTTCATGCATTAGTAATACATGTCAATATTTTAACCAATGAAAATAAAGCAGTAAATCGTACAGAGTATTTTGATTGGTCACAATTTAAGTTCAGTGTAAATGAAACACTGTCGGCGACAAAAATCTGTCGGTTTAAATACTTTACACGCAGAAATGAAAAACTTCAAACGTTATTCAAAACGCCCAATTTATTAATTTGCAACAACTAACAGATTTATTTTTTGCAGAATCAAAGAATTATTAAAAATATCTCTCCATTCACTCTGGGAGTTTTAAAAGTACTCCTCAATTTTCTTAGTTTGTGTCTGAGCAAAATCCATATTACAATAACAAGCCCTCTTTCGCACTCCTCCTGCCTTTATCAACGTGATAAGCTCAAAAACTTTAGGACGATTTTTTTACGGTTTTTACTTTATCACCATTATTAACTAACTACTTTAATAAAATTGATGGAGTGATTCACACTCAAACTGAGAATAATATCATAATTTATTCTAATTTACCTGAGCCACTGAACCACGGGTAGGGTATTTATTTCTTTTTGTCAGGGGAAAATCATCAAATGACTTGTCCCGTCCAGGGTAAGGCGAGAGAGAGTGTCAGACCCTTACTGACTAAAACCCCTCTTTTTTCTGCTTTAGACCGAAGCTACAGTTCCACGAGTGGCGAGCTACCCTTACTTACTGTCCGCAGACCCACGCAGAAGTTAGTTTTGAAAGGTAGCTTTTTGATGGGAGAAAATCATCAAATGACTTGGGAGAGGGAGAGTGAGTCCCTAGCTGATAGTTTCTGTTCCAAATACGGTTGCATTCGCATCGTTAGCTTTCATTCTACAACCCCTGCCCAGCTGGACATTGGGCCAAGTGGGCCTGAGAACCAAGGTGTGATGGTCTCATAGCTCGTTAAAAAACCTTTTTTTATTACAAACGTTTAAGGGGAATTAATTTCGTGCAATTTTTGAAATGTAAATCTTTTCACTTTTATTGCGTGTTTCGTTTTACTGTTATTTTCATAAAAAACCAGATGTTATAGTATTTTTAAGCTGGCCACATCAATAAAAAAAAACAAAATTCGACACCTAATGTCAAATAGCCAACTGTCAAATGATTGTATTTTCGACAATCGAGTTGATTGGAGGTTTGGTCTTGACACGGTGTGTTTACTTAACCTCAAATTCTGTTTTTGCAAATTAGTTCTTAGTGTTGTCTTTGTTTTGTTGCCTGGTGACGGTTATTTTTAAGGTAGGTATAAGATTTCTTTTCCCTGTGAGACTCATTTCTCACGAAATGAGTGCCGAGGAACCCCCTGATGGGGGTGGAGGAACCCCTCCGGATATTCAAATGAATAGTTCTTTAGCTTCTGGTGCAAGCCAGCAGACTAAATCCACCCTAAAACGACCTGCTGATTGTGACTCGAATATTGAGTCTAAGAAAAACAGACCTCCGTCTGACTCAATTCAATCTGTTTTTACGAAGCCCGGCTTTGAAACAAACTCCAAGCTCTCCTACAATGAGTGTGACAGAGCACCCTTTACTGTTTTTGTATCGAAAATAGAACCTGACCCTGCTGCTGGCTCAACCCTAAAAGTCTTAAAGTTCGCGCAATTTCTCCACAAAAACAACATCAAGGGAATCACAGAAGGAGGAATCAAATCTTTAGGCCGTAATAAGCTCTCTATTGAATTTAAATCTGCCAATGATGCCAACTCCTTTGCAGAGAATGACATCCTTACCGCCAACAATTTCACGGCTAAGATTCCTCGCTTTCAAGTCACCCGTATGGGTATAGTGAGGAATATTCCTACTGACTGGACCTTGGAGGACTTAGTTTCGGGAATAGAAACTCCTCAAAATTGTGGGGAAGTTATCAAAGCTAGACGCCTCAATTTTAAAAATAAAAAGGAAGACTCAATTTACTGGTCGCCTTCTTCCACCGTAGTTTTGACTTTCTCTGGGCAAACACTTCCAGAGAAGGTCTATTGCTACAACGCCTCTCTCCCTGTCTCAATTTACCATCTGCCTACAATTCAGTGCCGCAACTGCCTACGCTTCGGTCATATCCGCACTCAATGCCGATCGAAACCCCGCTGTTTCAAATGTGCCCAGCCACACCCTGGTGATACATGCAATGTCCCCGACTCACAAGCTACATGTATTCTATGTGAAGGTGGTAACCACAAGGCTACAGATGATCTCTGTCCCGAGCACTCCAGACAGAAATCCATTAAAATGGTTATGTCTGAAGAGAATTTAAGCTATAGTGAGGCATCTACTAGATTTCCCCGTTCTAAACGGTCCTACTCCGACGCTGCTGCAAACATGCCACAAACCCAAATGTCCCAAGCTCCTTCTCTTAATTTCTCCCAACTATTTACAGCTCCTCCCCCAACTTCTTCCTCTCCATTTACTTCTCCCTCCAAAACATCCTATACCAAGACCATATTCCGTTCCCCTAGATCTAGACCCGCACTGGGCAAGTCTTACGACGTCCAAGCTCATAGGACGATTGTTTCTTCCCCCAACTCCTCCCAACCCAACGGCTGTGCTCTTAAAGATCCCACGTTTTCGGATTCCACTCCTCTTCCTACCCCTAATGACAATCTAATCGAGTTATTATTTTGCTCCCTCATTAATATCCTCTCTAAATTTAGTGACGCTCTACCGAACAATGTCTTAGTCCTTATTGAACAATTGCTCCAAACCTGGTCCCGAAAGAATGGCCAAGATCCTTCAATGGAACAGTAGAAGCATCCGCCAAAAAAAACACGACCTACTGCATCTAATAAACCGCCACACTCCTGTCCTCTTTGCGGTGTCGGAGACATGGCTCAGACCTGGATCCCCCTTCAGAGTCCCTGGGTTCTCGTGTCTCCGAGACGATAGAGACGATGGGCGGGCGGGATGCGCCTTGCTGATCAGTAGGTCTATCTCCTTTTCCCAAATCCTCATTCCTCTTCACTCTCCCGGACTTCATGTTGTTGCCATCAGAGCCATGGATATTTCCTTTGTTTCTGCTTACATTCCTCACCCTAATGCCAACCTTCTATCTGAATTTAACTCCATCCTCTCTGCTATCCCTAACCCTTTGGTGGTGTTAGGTGATTTTAATTGCCGCCACACGCTTTGGGGCTCCCCCATCAATGACCCCTCATCCAGTTTTTTATTAGATCTCCTAGATGACCTAAATCTCTGTGTCCTCAATGATGGTTCAGCAACACGTAGGGTTTCCCCTACTCAAAATGTTAGTGTCCCTGATCTTTCACTTGCGTCTCCTTCCCTAGTCTCTACTCTTTCCTGGTCTGTCCTGCCATACTCATATGGCAGTGATCACTTTCCAATATTAATCTCTATACATAATTCCTACTCTCCTACCCCTCCCATCAATCCTCTTCAGAAATATCGCCTACTTCAAGCAGACTGGGATAAATTTTCTTCTCTGTTAGATTCTGATCTTCAATCCTTTCCCCAGGTGAACTCCTCAAATTGCCTTGCCCTGTATGAGGATTTTGTCGCTTGTTTAATACGAGCGGCTGATTCTTCCATTCCCTTAAAGAACTCCGCCCGTAAATTTATCCCTTCCCCCCCATGGTGGGATGCAGAATGCTCTGACAGCGTTCGAAAACGAAAGGAGGCAGAAAAAAGATATGCGTCCTCTATAAACATGGCCAATTACCTAAATTTCAAGAAAACTTCTGCCCGCACCCGCAGGTTATTGGCAAGGAAAAAGAAAGATGGATGGCACAACTTCTGCGAATCATTATCCCCTCGCTCTCCAGTTTCCCTAGTCTGGCAAAAAATCAAAGCTTTTCGCAGAGTCTGCGACGACCACTCACCAGATATCTCATCCAACGATCCTGGTTGCTGGTTAGAGGACTTCATAAACAAGTTGGCCCCCCCCTTTGTCCCTAGTTTAGAATGCTTTCCCTCTTTGGACTCTCCTTCCCTTCCCTCTGATAAATTTGATGATCCATTCTCTCTCTCTGAGTTGTCTATTGCTTTAGAACATCTTCGGGACTCAGCCCCGGGCATAGACGGCATCCCGTATTCCTTCATCTGTAAATCCTCTCCTGTTTGCAAACAAATATTCCTTGCCCTTATCAACTCCTTCTTCCTCTCCGGCCTCATCCCGGAATCTTGGAAATCCCAAATAGTTATCCCGATCTTAAAACCTGGCAAAGATCCAAAAGATTCTTCTTCATACAGACCCATCGCTTTATCTTCTGTTCTAGCTAAGATCGCGGAGAACCTTATAAAGAACAGGTTGGAATGGTTTTTAGAGTCCAAGGGCATACTTTCCGCTTCCCAATTTGGGTTCCGAAGAGGCAGGGGTACCCTAGACAGTCTGAGCATCTTCACTTCTGATGTTCGAATTGCCTTCTCTCAAAACGAAAGCGTCCTGGGCGTTTTCCTTGATATAACGTCAGCTTACGATAATGTCCAACTTCCAATACTCAGGCAGAAACTGCATCAGCTGAGTGTCCCTGTGAGGCTGGTTAACATCACTTGCAGCTTGCTAATGTCTCGTTATATATCAATTCGACATCAAAATTCCATCTCTTCACCCCGCTTAGTCTGGAAAGGCCTACCCCAGGGTTCGGTCTTAAGCCCTCTCCTTTATAATGTTTATACCCACGACTTAGAATCCTCAATTAGCTGTTTCTGTAAAATCCTTCAATACGCAGATGACATTTCTCTTTATTTCAGTTCGTCCTCTCTTACAGAGGCTTCTTCCCGCTTGAATTCTGCTTTGTTCTATCTAAACCAATGGTTAAATGATCATGGCCTATCCCTATCTGTCCCCAAATGTAACGCTGTAGTATTTTCACGTAAACGTAACATCCCCCCTATTAATCTATATATTGAAGATGAAACCATTTTGATCTGTGACAAAGTTAAATTCCTTGGCATAATTCTGGACTCAAAATTATCTGGCCTCCATCATCTCGATTTCATTAGTAAAAAATGCGAAAAG